TACGATCGTCATATTTATGAGGCGGTAAGCCATGTGTAAAATGCCGATAAATCAATTTATTGCTTAACAGAAAAGCATTGCTTAGTTTAGATTTTGTCGTCGGAGTAAATTCGATAGGAGTTCTGTTTGAAGCGGAGCACTGGTGATCGTAAATTCAAATGATTTAATTTTCTATAAACCTGCACATTGTTCAGTGTATATCTACATTTGCACAAAAAAAAAAGAAAGAAAAAGCGGCAATGTGTTTCGTCTCAGTCAATAGCAATGACGAATTAATAGCATAAGCAAAACAGGTTCTGTTCGTTTTACGATGTTGTTCTCAATAATATTCATGACTATTCGTGACGACAGAATCACAATATGGCATCGCTTCCTCTTCCCCTGGCCGCAATGACGCCAACTGCAATGCGGACGGCAACAACAGCAGCAACAATGATAATGAGCTCGATAGGCGCAGGTCGTGTTTGTTACTGCTACCAGGATCATCTAACAAATCGGCAAGAAACCGTTAACAGTAGGTAATTCAACCCAACTATAATCGTCGAGCGAAGGCGAGATAGGGGCAGTCTGTAACTAATAGACAATGAAGGTCATATAGGTCACCTTACAAGCGGTAGATAGAACTACAAACGCTGAAACAACGCTAGCAGACGCAACAGCTTCACGAGCGATATTGATAGAAACGACAGTGATGGATCGAAATCATTATTGGGGAGTGAAGGCATACTCGATGGCGAATGTGTGGATGAATCAAAAGGAAAGCACGATGCAGACTATTGCATCGTGGGCAAAAACGTGATATCGTTTATTAGCACCGTCTTCTACAAGCACAACACTGTAAGTACTAGACACTAAGAAGCGAGGTAATGACAACGGCATCAGCTGGGAATCGCCACACGTCGCTGCTGTTTCGTCGGGTTTTGCCAACTTGGGCTTACACATTTTAGCACTACCAATGTAGCAGCGATGCTACTCCGGGAATTACTATACGGACGCTTCTAAGAATACGTACAAAAAAAGAAAGAAGACTCAATAGAGAATGCTGTTGACGATCGCTATTCAGGAACTCCCTAAATCGGTTTAATAGAAGAAGGGTAATCTGGTACGAATTTTTGTAGAATTATGTTGGATTCGATGGGACCAACTCTCGAGGGGTAATTAGAAATGGAGGTACCAGCAGCTGAAAACAAATAAAGCGACAGAAACAATGATTTAGTATATTATGTAAGTAGGGCCTTGTCTAATTGTTGTTAAATACTTGAATGAGGCATTAGTTGAGCTAACTGTATGTATAAATGTAAGTAGCAGCGGCACTCTGTTGAGCGAACGATATGTAACAGTAAAAACATTGTACCTTTGGCAATAAGTGTATTGCATTGTTTCTAAATTAGGTTTAATCGTATCATGTTTTGTGTGTAACATTTATCAAAAACAAATTACACACAATCCTATATCATTGAGCGAACAAACAGTGGATATGGGACAGGCCATTAAATGATGACTATCAACAGCATTGCGTTCGTTAGCTAGGGTTCCAGCGGAAACGCTTGCCGCTCATGCCACTAAAGGTTTTGTTAGTTAGGTCCAGGATGTACGATGCTGCTGTGCGTGCGCTTGTAGCCCCTTAGTGATTCACGGACCCACGCAACTGCTTCGATATCTCGGCCCAGCACTCTCCGAAGTAGCCTTTATCAAGTGTGATAACACCTCGGGCACTATTGAGACGATCATCCATATGGCCTTTACGAATGCTCAGGGCAGCAAACCACTGACTGGGGTAAACAACCCGGGCAGCAGCAGCAGCAACAAAATCAATGTAATACTAATAATAACATAATCTGTACAATTGTACAAGAGACTCTCTGCAGTACCCTGCTGACAATCCAATTCGTCCATCATTCTTTTTTATTTTTCTCGTTTTTACCCACACGTTTTTCCCGTGACAGCCTCTTCACCGTTCAACATTCAATATACTGATTATGAGTATCAACATTTTTGTCGGTAGTGGGCTATTAGCTTGAGAGTTCGCACTCCAGAGACCCATCTTAAGAGTTTGTAATCTAAACCATGTAGCAATATCTACCTCTGGCTGGATCGCCTGCGCTTTAGTGGACTATGTCAGTGGATAGAAGCATCTCCATAGGCATCTACAAAGCCACGCGTAGTAGCCGATGATAACTAATAGATGGCATGTCACAGGCCATCTCGGACCCGTACGTCCAAAAGGCGGCAGCACTAATTTGGACAGCAACAAGACCAGTTTAGCAAAAACAATGACCATAATGCCAACGTGGGCACAAATGCTTGGTACTTCGCAGCCATTTGTCGGACACAGACAGATTGCTGCCATAGCCATGGTTTTTTATGTGGACAAACAGCAGTTTTACACGAACAAAGTATCTGCCGCTGGTCGGCTGGCACTAGACAAGTAGACTGATAGCCTACATTGATTCTTCCAAGTACCAATCCTACTGGCAAGAGTGGAACGTGACGAAATATAAACCTGCTATTTAGACGCAATTGAAAACCGTTCCACAGAATTTGGCTATAGGGAACATGACTGACGCAAAAGTCAGCTCCAAGGCGTACTTCTTGGAAAACGTCATTGGAAAAGGAAATCCCTCGGTATCGTAGCTAGTTGCTAACGTTGACCATCATTAGTTTTCTTTTAGCACCTGTGCTTCGTTGATGTGTCCGTTAAAGGAGCTTACTGCACTTTTGTGCTATGTATCTGGTATTTGAAGATCAACATGCAGCCGACCACGTTACCGAAGCCTTTAGGCTGAACCCGAGCGTTGGCTTTCACCACGCGTAACGGTTTTTGTCACGCACGTTAAAAACGGCCGTGCTTTGTTACGCACTGTTATTCTCCGATGCATTGCTGATATCAGCGAAAATATCTCAGAGCCATTTTAAGCCGGCTCCGTGCTGCTATCTCCTAACTTCGCCAAAGGCTCTTGCTTCTTAAACGCTGTCGATACTATAAGTCTTCTCTCGGGCCCCTTTTCGGCCACCTGGACGGGTGTTCTAACAGGTACTGTGGTGGCTTAGGCAATCGATCTTGTTGCCCACACAACGAAGAATGCGATGCGTCAAATAAATCAGGTATTAACGAATGGCAAAACGGCCAAAAAGGTGACGTCAGGTCCAAGGAAGTCCGAACTCTGAAAAAATCGAATGGTTATATATATAATAATTGGATGGGATCCTAGCCAACTAGAGTTCCTAGATGTTTGCTTTCTAATAGTCGGTCAATGGACGCCTTCGTATAAACGAGTATTTCAATTGCATAATGCTATTCTCTATTCGTTGGTACTTCGAGCCGATTCTCTGCATCAAGTGACAACAAACAAATGTATAATAAGCTAATAAGATATATATACTTAAAAACTTTATCGATTCACTATACTTGCTCCTGGGTATCAGTATGAAGATACTGAGATGCTATCGTCCGGACCAAGTGATCCTGCCGGGGAGTAGCTTGAAATACTAAACAACCTCTAGAGCGAAATTTACATACGTAACGTGTAAAACCTATTCGTATGCACGCTTATTTGAATAGAACAATAACATGTAAAAGCATATTTTCTCGACCCTATTGGACAATGGATAGCGGAACGGTTTCACGTTTGCGTTTCTCTCTACTAAAAATCACACGACTTAGCGAATTGTCCTAAACTGTTTTTGAGTACTTTCGTCTGCGTTCGCGTCCCCCGTTTTGGCAAGCAAATAATATTAGCAACTTGGGTTCGTTTCAACGATGCAAGCACTTGTACGGAACGAAAATGATACATTTGTGCTTACGTCTTCTCGCAGGCATCGTGCGGCCATCGAGCCTATCATTGTTTGTCTCTTGGCTAGCGGCCGCTTTTGTATAGCTCATCTATAGTGATACTTTAATTTGGGCTTCTACTAGCAACGTGGGTCTATTAATTTTTTCGTTGTTCAATGTGCGGTCCTTTTCAGCTGACCGTTGCCGTCCATATCGAATTTGTCGCTCTCGAAACAAAAGGTGACCTGTGGAAAGCAAAAACGAGTTCGACAATATGAAGCATGTCAAAATGCGAAAAAAATATTTTAAGTTGAAGGGTTGTTGTGTCTCGTGCATAGAAGCTATCCGTCTGTCCGATTCGACAAGGAACCACTGGTAGAATAATATCATGCTGTTAATAGTACGATAGCAATTCTACTATGAATGCAAATGCAGTTGCTGAAGTCATCCCCGCACCAGAGCGTGCTTGTCACGCCAGTCGTCACAGGCAAAAAAAACTTCATTACACACTCGTGTCTGTATCACGAATGGTACGAAGCAGGCTTGTCATTACCACTGATATTTTCCATCAGTGTGATCACCGTATATGTCGCCAGACTGCGACGATGGCTCGATTTCCTTGCCGCAACAGTCTGCCCCGCGCGAGTTCGCCGTTTCTACTGGCCAGTCGGACCCACTGACGCTTGTTCAATAGGGCTGAATACATCATACCCGTTCTCGTCTGTCGACAATTGCCATAAGCCAGAGATGCTAAGCGCTGGGTGCGTCGACAGCTTTTAAGGTATTAACACGGCCAACCATAAGCGGGAAGGCCTACAAAGCCATCAGATGATTAGCATCACGAGACGATCATCGATACGAAGTCCCACGAGACGGATCGATTGTTGATTGCCGCTAAATAACTCATAATACGGCCAAGACTCGGACGAATTGGCCTGTTCACGTTTAGGAAGCAGGCTTGCGTTAGAAGGGCGAGAAGAGTCATTCAAGGCAAACATCAAAGACGACGAGGGCAACAGCCTGGTGGTGACGCAGATGGGTATCGATTCATCATCGATTTAGAACGATCGATTTCGCTACTAGTCGGCGCTTCTGTTCGTTAATGTCAAATGCTGAAGAGAGCAAAAACGTGCAGATGAAAAAACCGGCTTCACGAGAAGCTGTAAGAACTAGTAAAACTCAAAGTGGTAATTCAGGACATTCAGGGGAGTTACCATTCATTTATTTGCAGTGGTGTAGCAGCCATAAATATGTTGGGACCAGCACATGGCTCTTGTGAGACTATACATTATATATATATAAGTTAAAAATAAGCGATGCCAGTTAATAGACTGTGCATATATAAACGCAGTCGAAATAGATTGAGTCATTGTGGCTCCTAACTATGCCTATGCAGGGTAAAAACTTAACACTAAAATAAAGACGTATTTACAATTTTGTAAGTATTTACAGTGTCTGAAATTCAGATTTGGTCGACGAAATCTGTAATTGTTGAGCTCGAATTTATGTCTCGTTCATCTGTTGTACAACGCTTTATTAGTGAACTTACAAAAAGCTGTTGCTGATACGATCATACAACGAGCAGGAGCCATCTGATGTACAGGACATAATTTGCTTGTACTGCAGGCAGAGCAACGAAATGAATAGAGATATGATAGATGTATATATATGTATACCAATATATAATTCTATGAAAAGCGTCTAGCTTTCCCATGCTTCCTGCCGCTAACCGCCAAACCTTCATTACCTAATTCCTCTGATTCATTTTTTTCAATCGCTTCATTTAATGATGAAGATCGCTAGCATCGATGAACTCACGCGTCGGCCAACCATCTTATAGCTATTGCTGCTGCTGCTGCTGCTGCTTTCACTACGACATGTACTATTTGGAGTTGTAAATTGTAAAACAATGGTCTTTTCTCATTCTCAAATAATGATCGATGTTTTCACCGTTGCCATTATCTTCTCGTCGTAATGGCTGTCTTCGTTCTGAAAATTCAAATCAAGCAAATATAAACCTATATGTGAGTTGGCCCGATTAAAAGAAAGCTAACCATGAACTATAATATCAACAATAGCAACCTTCTCTGGGCTAGCAAAATGGCTTTTGCTTTGGATAGAGGCCGTTTACTAGCTCAGGAAACGTCCATACTTAGTTCTACTATAGGTTTGACAGAGTAAGACGGCCGATAGCAGATCGAGTCGTAAGGCCTGCGCAGTGACAATAACGACATACAGAAAACGAAATACCGTAATGTAAACAGATCAGCTGTTGCTAGATAAAAGATACCTTATGATGATAATGTAATATGCCATCATTGTATATAAAATCTGAAAAGAGATATTGAACGAAAACACTGAAAGACATGGTACACGTAGGAACCGGTCGAAATAAAAAGTAATACAGATAATCAGTCGCGCAATGACTTGTAAACAGTCAGCCAGCGATCAGCAAATTATCAACTGGTCTTCTGCTATTTTTACTATTACCATGATTCGGCCTAGATCGTACCTTGATAGGTGCATGTTCTTATCGTTTCTATTTCCAATAAAAGCTTACTCGGAATCAGTTTCCTATAGTTATTACTTTTACTAGTATTTTTGCCGACCTGTGATTAGCTCTAGCGTTATTAGCGATAAATTGGGAAGAGCAAAATGAGCAATGAATAGTAAGCAAACGGCAGAAATAGTGGTTTCATGTAAAATGCACATTCATAATTGCTATCGGACCACGACCATACATTGTCGTTCTAACAGGCGTTGTCACGAAAGCTGAAAGATTTATATGTACCATTTAACCTCGTCATTGTGACTTTTTTCCAACAAACAATCATAGATCCCCGTACCTTGCTCGCTATCCTACAAATTAATCATACTGTATATGAGAAACTAACAGGATTCTTATTGTATGATGATTAGCTACGGGTACAGAACCACCCAAGCAGAAATAGCCCACAACCGAGGCTAGCCGCATGAGCATGAAAAAACATTACCATTTTCTAATTAATTTGGCTGATTAGATTGGTCTCCTGTTTTCTCATCATTTAATCGCTCACATTAGCTAGCTGCTACTTGTCCTACAACAACAACAACGGAAGCGACCAAGGGCGACAATCTACAGAGGTTGTGCACGTTTTCGTAGTTGGTCCTTCATTTTTTTGGGGTGCTATTTCGAATTTCTGCAGCTGACTTTGTTCTGTCCATGCGACTCTGGGACTAGGCAGAAAGCTACCAGAGTAGCTAACTAATTACTAGCATCACTACCTCTAGCAGCCCATTTCAGCTATTCTGTACTAATCGGCTAGCCGTACCTGCCACAGTGGCATACGAAGTGAGTGGCTTGTGTTACCTCGTCATAACACCAATCAAGGCCAGTTCATTACGATGAATCGGGACACAGACGTAGCCCCATCGCAAAAATCCGGACATGGATCCTCACGTAGCACCTTCGAAACGTCACACTATACGTTGAACGCTACCAGCAAAATTGACGCCAGCCAACGTCTGCGTAGTGGCAATTGCTTGCCAGAATGTTCAGACAATAATAATAATAATACCATGGACAGAAATGGGGCAAATTCGGCATTGTGACAATGAGCGTAATGGCTATCCAGTGGCGATACTGACACGCAAACGATGAAAAGTCGAATAAAATTGGTACGAACGAATACATCCTATTATATCGTTTCAAGCGGATCTGTTCTTTGGGCTGTTAGAGTATCGTTGACGTATTTTGCGTTTATAGCTTTCGACGATTGGAACAGTCGACGCTGGCAGCTCCTTATGCTCTACTTTATTGAAATTACCAATGTGGAACATGATGGATTCGGATAATGGAGAAGAGTTCGTATTTGCGTAAATAATAACGGTTGCATTTGAAATTTCAATCGACTATACTCTATCAAATTTACAACGTTGCTCGAAAGAAACAAAATATTAGGAAACATCTTCTAGTAAACTGATGGACAAAAGTTGACTGCTTACTACTGGATATCAACATAGGTCCTTAAACATCTAAACTAGGCTCGTCATAAACACATGACAATAGCGGCATGATGAAGAGTAGAAAGCTACATTATTTCAACCGACAAAAAAACGTACATGAGCGGCGTTATTAGACTTATCAACACACTAATTGCTAGTCGACGATACAGGGTAGCAACAGGAGTACTGTTTTTAATAGTAATAATAATAATATTTCGACACTATAGCTCGAGCCCAGGTTGGCTAGCAGGCAGTTTCATGCTTACCAAAACGTCGCCTGGGGCGCTACTTATGTTTAGATATTATACCAGATACACGGAAAGCTACAGGCTTGCAACAAGATGACGATTGTCGTTTAAAAAAATGATACCGATGCTTTACCGGAGTGGCAAGAATTTGACCTGAGATGATTCGGTGGTTGACACCTTGGTAGTCTTATTTTACCCCGACCGCCATATTATCCATCCAGGCTATGCAGTTCTCACAGTGGAACTGAACAAATTCAGGACGCCTCCTATTCTTGACATTGAGGTGCGAACCTTTTGCAAGACTGCATTGCCAAATGCATGCAAACGAGGGTACAAGATTAATCATACCCACCACCACGGTGATGTAAAAGTGAACGCGATGAGATCCACCACCGTTACCATGACACAAGATATTATTGACCTGCAGGAAGCCAGCCTAAATATCAAATGACCATCGATACCACGTCGGAGTTTTTGAAAGACGTGACTAGGCAAATCAGTTGACGGTTCAGTTTTTTTTTTATCTGGACCCCGAGCAGCAAGGAAGATGCAAACAGATCGAAATTATGGATAAACATTGGCGTTATTAATGCATGCTCGCTGTGTTTTTAGTATCTAGCTAACTAAGTGTGGATAAGCATAGAGATCGCCCAATGCTCAATTGAGGCTCATCCGGTTGTGTTTTACAACAGCATACGGTATTTTGCAACGCTTGCCACATCAGCCTGGGCTTCATTCATCCCTAATCAGCAGGTCGAATCTATTATGCGCAGGTAGTGCAGCTCATTATAAAAAAATTAATTATTTACCGTTTCAGTGGATGTTCACGAGAACTGTATATACATGTTCTGAGGTGGACGGGATTTATTGCGGCAATATTTTTTGCTACCGGCCCATGTGTAATACAATCAGTGAAGATTGTTGGTACTCATTTGTCGCATTCGTTGATTTTTTAAATACATAGACGTTGCCATAGAATGGGATAGGTGTTGCAAACGTGAGAAACCGTAGATGCTTCCAAAAAGTACGGGATCCTGACCGACACAATATTTGCTTTATACAATCACTGAAAGACCTAGTTCGTATGCATTTTTAGTAATTCGTCTTATTACACGAAGCAGAATATAATAATAAATGCCGCTCATACATTTTCAATTTAGCCTTTAGCTGAAAATGTCATCTCACCAGCACACAATCGATAACGATAATACTATTTTAATGGTGCGGATTCCACAGTTCTTACGCAAAGAAGACAATAACAAAAATAAGCTGATCTCTTACGTACGCCTTTGGGTTCTGTTTATAGCGGCAAAAACAATAATCCAAAAAATATACAGATCGTACGACGGACGGAAACGAAGTTAGCGCAGAAGCTCCAGCCACCCAACCACAGTCTCATCGCCGTATTGAGATGATACGGCCAACTCTTGAAGCGGGGCTTCGTTGTTTTCATGACTTTCACGTCATAGTTTTGTTGGCGTAACGCGCTTCGGGGTCGCACGCTAGCGACAACATCAAAAATTATAACAACTAGTAAAATATAACATCGAAAAAAAATGCACGCCAAAGTGGGAGATGCAATACCAGTAGGGGCATTGCGTGCACTGGAAACGACAACGACGCCTCCAAGAAATGTTACAATAGGACGACAGCCTCAACGGCCTGCTTTTCGGTCAGATCACATCCCGGAGCTGCGTGAGGTGCTAAGAAGACCGTAGCCCACTCGGGATGTTCCGCGTGATCACGCGGCCATCCCTCCTCAATCAGCTAGATACTATGTTATAGATAAAGTGTTTGTGCTGTCAACACGTTGACACGTACGGCCTCTACGAGGTGTAAAGGAGGTTCAGAGTGTATTAAATATTGATGACGTTGAAGGACAGATTATAAACGGGTGAAAGCAGACACAGAAGGACCGTATCTACAGAAGAACCGATCTCTGATTATCGAATGTTGATGTTAATTAAATGGCACACAAACCTGTGACCTATTCTCTTCTACACCGTTCTATCGGAATACCCCAAATATTCTTTTCTGGGCGTTTAATCTCAGAGTAATCTCTTTTCACCTTCGAGTATGCGCTCCCTTAGAATACGTGGTCGAATAGTTTGCTATCGACCGGGTCTGATTAAATTCGATATTGTAATAGGTGCATGTAGGTGGCGCACTATCACCCCCGTAATGTTACTGTGTATTACTTGTACATGATAGCTATTGAGAGTTTTTCTATGTCTGTTTTTGAACTACCCATTGAATCTCCATCAGGTATTACTTAGGATTACTTAGAATTAGGGTTATGACATGGATTCGGTAGAAAAGCTTTATCGATATTTTGGTAGTTGCTGTACGGACGCACACCCAGATACATGTATTCCTGCGTTTCGATATGTAAAGAATATTTTATTACGCGTCTTCTAAATGCTAACGTGTGAAAAAAATTCACGCTGTTACTGGATTAATAGCGGCTCACGTCGCGCGAACTATTGTATAAGTAGAATCGATATTGTATAGGCAAAATTGATATCGTCTGTTTGTCAAGGCTAACATCTCACAGGAACAGACACCGTTCGTCGTCACATCATTGCAATAACAATACCGTACGTCGTAAACGAATACGATTATTATTACTCTTTGAACGAAACGTCGTGCAGTTGTCCGATATCGATTCCATCGTGCTCACAATCCCCACGTATCTTATTCTATATTCAACCTGATTCAGATGCATTAAGAGGTAGCGTGCTATAATAATCTACGCAT